AAAGGCAAAATAGCAATATTGCCTCCCTTTCAGAGCTAACCAAAAAAAAAAAACTAGTTTTTTTCCCATCATCATGCAACACTCCTGAGTTAGGATAAATCACACTCACCCACCCCTACAGCAGTATTTCCAGCCAGCCCATTAAGTTTCTGGCCAGCCTGCTGATTATTGTTGTATCCCTGCTCTGTTCTTTCTTTCTGCAGCAAACTCCAGAGTCTGAAACAGACCTTTCAAGTTTATCTTTCTGTTGTGTTCCCTTCAATGGCTTTTGACCATTAAAATATTATTAACGAATATCTTTGATTTTGAGCATTTATATTGGCCTAATATGAATTATTTAATGTCACAAAAACTTAGAATAGTCAAAATCCCACTACCCATAATAGCAAACTTGGGAGTGGCCACTGCACCACTATTTGAGATTGACAACTATGATCTAGAGAAGATAGACATAAAATCAACAAGCTGTTTTTAAGTCTTCAAGTTCAAACACAACCATGTAATTTAAGGCCCAGGAAACAGACAGAGGACGGGAGCATTAAACATTATTGCAAAAATAAGGCTATACAAAACATCTAAGTGTAACTGCCATGCCAAACCTCACAATATTTGGCTCAAATGTCTTGGAATACTGCATGTCTCTTAAAGTATAATCTGTTTGGCTATCATGCCAAAATAATTAAAGCAAACAAAATAGTTATCAACACAACATCATGCATAGATGAGGCTTACCACCGCTGAGACGCTGCAATCTGATGATGAAGGTATAGAATTAACAAGCTGCTCTTTATCAACGTCCCATAGCATAATAGATGATATCTCACCCGATGCATACTGATAAACGTATAAATGGAACATGGAACACCACCATGAAAAAAATCATTATCACAATATGAGGGATGAATTAGAGTTTCTATTTTAGGACAAGGGTGGGATAGAGGGAGATATCCCACATTCCCAAGAATAAACAAAGAGGAACCATATACCAGATAACCACATTGTTGTTGCCAATCAACAACTGCATTCAAACTCCTCACACCAGGTTTGTGGCCATGAATAGAAGAGAATGCAGTAACAAGTTTTTGTTTACCCTTCAGAGTATAATCTTTCCAAATTCGAATGTTTCCATCAGCTGCATCACAAGATTCCCTAATGTTAAATACTCTGACAATAATTCATAAAAACATGTACAATATTTAACAGTGGAGAAAAGTACATGAAGCAGCAAGAAGCAAGCTATCATCGAGCTCATTTACAAGGCAGAGCTTAGAAATTCCTTTGTCGGGAAAATCATGATTATCAAAACTGTTGAGCAGTGTTGCCTCCTCATGATTCCATATCCTGTGAAAAACTCCAAAGAACATTAGCTGATTAGCCAACAACTAAAATCCGAATTACACAATACAAATTGAGCTATGAGATTCACCATCAAGACCAGAAAAATATTTTGTTCTAATCA